TGTGTGTGTGTGTGTGTGTGTGTGTGTGTGTGTGTGTGTGTGTGATGAACAATAGTAGAGAAGAGAAGGCTTCTGGGAGCAAATAAAGGATTTGTGCATTGATTCTCACTCTGCAATGGACCGTGACTGTAACACTTTAAGCCCCTTTCTTGATGTCCACACAATAATGAACCATCACATAAAGTTGAAAGTTCAGGAAGCCCTTTCTTCCCTAAGCTGCTTTTCATAGGGGTGTTTTATGACAGTAGCAGTAATGAAAACAGGACAAGTAGTTTAATATTGTTAATTGCACTAGTAGATAACGCTGAGTTATTTTTATTATTCATAGACTAGAATACATTGTGATATATTATGCCATGTTTTATGGATTATGTTGGCTGATAACTTATTTAAAATTTTTGCAACAGTATTCATAAACAAGGAAAGTTATGGTCTACTTTTATCAATTTTGTCACAATTCATAATTTACAAAGTGAATTTTTGAGATTTTTCCGTTGCCTAAATTCTTGGACTGTTAAAGCCGCATCTGAGTCCATCATTCAGGGCAGTGGCTACCCTGAGTGCCATGACAACCATGTGACTGTGGATCTATGCTCTAAGTACACTGGTACTATTGGTGTTCAATCCTGGTATACGTCAAATCACTGATTAAGCTAAAGTATTTAAAAGTGTTTAGTAAGTATTATATGCTACTTACATGAATTCTTTCTGGTTCTTGTTTTGCTCATCACAGCAGTCCACTTTTTCTGTTTTTTTTTCACTTTTTTAAATACATTTTTTCACTCAATATATTCTTATCAGTTTCTATTCACTCAATCCCTTCCAGATCCTTCCTACCATCCCACATCTCCACATATCCAACTTCATGTCCCTCTCTCTTCTGTCTCTCTCTCTGTATCTCTCTCTCAAGGACAGACAAAAAACAAACAAACCATAATTTTAAAAGGAAAAGCACAAGAAACTTATACACAAAAATCATAAAAATACAAAATCAGAACCCATAAAAATTATATATATGTGTATGTGTGCATATATATAAATATGTGTGTATATATAATATATATATATGTGTGTGTATGTATGTGTGCGTGTATCTGTCTCTGGTAGGGCTACATGGCTTCTCTTTCTCCCAGCATTCAGTTTAGTTTTCCCCGCATAGCTCTACTCTACCCTATTACAGGCCCAAAACAGCTTCTTTGTTAACCAATGATATTCAGAGCATCCAGAGGGGAATCCCACATCATAATAGTCCTGTTGTGTCTCTGTCTCATTCTTCAGTAACATCTATCCCCTCTGGCTCTTCTTTCTGTCTCCTCTTCTGCATAGTTTTCTGAGCTCTAAGGGAAGGAGTTTGATAAAGAAGTTAAGATGCTGAACTCTGGGTATAGCAGAATGTTATTGAAAATCTTTTTATTGCTATGTTCCTTTAATATAACAATAGTATTTGGGTTTCTCCTCTTTCCTTGGCTTATCTATTCAGGTTCTTGGCTACCCTAGTGGTATCAGGTACGGGTTCTGTCTCGTGGGGTGGCCTTAAGTCCAATCAGATGGTGGTTGTTTACTCATACAACATGTGTGCCACTATTGCACCAAGATATCCTGGTGGCAAGTAAAAATTGTAACTTGCAGGGTTTGTAGCTGGCTTGGTGGCTACCTTTGTCCTCTGGTAGCATGCAGAGTACCTTCCAGAATGAAGACTAGTCAATAGCCATGAAGATACCAGTTTGAGTTCTCCATGTTTAATGAAATATGTAAGTGTTGTCTTTGGCAATAGGGCCTTATCCTCAGTTAGTGGCAAGCAATCAATAGCCTTGGCAATAGCCCGAGTTGTTGGGGGTTTCCATGGCGTCGCTTTGGTTAATAACTAATTACATGCAACACATTCCTGGCACTGGAAGTCACTTGGTAGTGAAAGATGTCTAGTTGAGGCTTTCTCCCCTCTGCTATTTAGTGATCCCATTTACATTTCTCTCATATACATATTTTAAGAATCCTCTACTGTGGTAAGCAGGTTTCCATATGACACCTCAAATGACTCTTAGTGTTAGCTGCTCTTTCCATCTTTTATCCTTTATCCTCTCTTCTCTTCCCATTTAATCCTCCCATTCCAGTCTCCCCTTTGAGTCCCCATAGCTCTTGTATTTCCTCTTCCTTGGCGGTCCTCCCTCCCGCCATCATCCCGTTCTCTACATATAATCTTTGTGGTTATAAGGATTATAATGTGCCTAGTGAAGGCATAAAAGCCAACATCCACACATAGGAGAATACATACTATATTTGTCCTTTTGGGGGTCTGAGTTTCCTTACTCGGGATGATTTTTTTTCTGGCTCCACCCATTTACCTATAAATTTTATGATTTCTTTTTTGTTTGTTTGTTTGCTTTTTGAGACAGTTTCTCTGTAGCTTTGGAGCCTGTCCTGGAACTAGCTTTTGTAGACCAGGCTGGCCTTGAACTCACAGAGATCCTCCTGCCTCTGCCTCCCGAGTGCTGGGATTAAAGCACCCCCACCGCCCACGTCATGATTTCATTTTTAGCAGTCAAATGATATTCCATTGTTCAAATTACCATATTTTCCTTCTCCATTCATCTGTTGATGGACATTTAAGTTCTTTCCAATTTCTAGCTATTGTGACTATAGCAGTTGTTGTATCCTCAGAGTTATATCAAAATTTAAAAATTGAATTTTAAAAAATATTTTTCCCATTTCCTTTGTTGTCAGATAATTTTGGTGTACCTTAGTTGTATTTCAAAACGTAGGTCTTTATTAAGTAGTACAAGTAGTTAATATAAATTTATTGAGCACTCACAGAGGTATGTATACCTGGCTCCTTGGAAAGGTATGGTCCATTGAGCATGCCATGTTTTTAGATATAAGTGGTCAGTAAGTAAGAAGTACACCCCCATGGAAAAGTTCAGCATTTTGTCTGCATGTAGTGTGAGTATGCACATACAGTTTCTCAAGTCTGCTGTATGGAGTCAGTGTGCATTCTGGGTGGCTCTGTGACTCTGTGACTGAGTCCTTTTGTACTTGATACACTGAGCAATGCCCGTGGGACATATTGCTCTGTTACATAGCATCTCACTCATATCTGTTCTGAAAACAGTATCCATCCTTGACACCCTGTTTGCCTCTTCTGTAAACATGAGGGTTTCATGTTCAGGATTGTTTGCCATCTATCTAAACTTGCCTTACTCTATCTTCCCCAAGGTTAGTCTCAATTCTGGACATGGGAATAAGTCAAAGGTAGTGTTTGTCTTACATAAATCCACCATGAGGTTTCATCAGCATGGCTCCATGGATGGGTCCAGAGAGTGAACAACAGTCGGAGCCGAGTCAGTCAGAGTCCTTCCCTGGACAGAGATCTAAAGGGGGCAAGAGATAATAGCTAGACCCCTGATCACGTGAAGAAAAGAGCAATGACGCACCGCAGCTTTTAGAGCAGATCAAGTGATTCTTACGGCATGTTTTATTGTGTAATCTCCTTCCTTTTAAAACCCTCCTGCCTCATAGACACGGAAAGATTCACAAGCAAGAGCATCTCTCTAGAGACTTTACTTTTGAAATGCAGAGGTCATTGAAATATGTGTCCTCTAGGGGAAAACAATGATTATTTTTCAATTAAGAAAATCCTGTAAGTTGCTAAGGAACTGAGTTGCTTTTTGATTTTGGCAAATTTGCTTCTTGCTTGGCCTCCTTTAGATGTGGCCTTTAGCATTTCACAGCCACCGGTATCCCATATTCCCTTGGAAGAAATCCGGACTATGTCGAGATGGGTAATATTGACTGAAGGTGTTATAAAGGCTCAGCACTGTTGCTGTTAGAGACTCAGACCCGATCTTCAATAAGGGAATTCTTGTAACCCCAATCCTGCTATTCCCTGTTTTAAAAAGACCTTTCTCTTGCCTCTGTCTCCCTTCATCATTTTCTCCCTCCTTCTCATAGACCTCCCCTAATCGATTCCCTTTATTTATGCTTGGCTGTCTGGTCTGGTTAAACCTAGGATCGCAGAACAACGAGCCTGCGAGTCCCTTTGAAGGACTCGCAGGTCTCTGGAGAGCAATCAGGTGACAGACCCTCAACTCAACCAGACATTGTGTCTGAACCTTTCCAGGGCAGGCATCCCATCCCAGCAAGTTGCCAAGCCCCGGGCTCCGCCCATTCTTCCAGCGCAACCTGGAACGGTTGCCACCCTCTGGATTTCCTCCGGGGTTGAGCGTCTGGGCTCCGAGGCAACTCAAGATCGCAGGAGGCGCGTCTCTCCTAAAACCCTGTAGCGCGGCTGCAGTTGGCAGCTGTAGCCGAGGCTGCGAGAGAGGCTTCCCACCTGGGGCCGGCGGCGGCCCAGCTCTGCAGGAGGACGCGGTGACGGCAGGAGTGGCGGTGGGACCCGCAGCCCGGGGTCGCGGCTGCAGAGCCCAGTGCGTGGGAGGAGACAGCGCTCTTACGCCTGCGGCGGCCAAGGCTTAGGCTTCTGCCTTCAGCCCCCTCTCCCGCCTCTCGCCCCAGAAATGAGCTGGAGCATCTCCGGTTTGATTCCAGAGCCCGGATCGGGTGGGTTCTTTTGTTTCTTTGTTTTAATGACAGTTCCCAGCCCTTGGGCATGTCATGCGCCATTAATTTCCTGCCTCTTTTCAAGGCAGCTGGGGTGAATTTTTTTTTTCTGCATCATCCTTTGGGGGATGGTTGTTTATGATGTGACGTCAGCGGATTGATTTTTCTCTCGTGAATGAGAGAGGGAGAGACACACAGAGAGACAGAGAGACATAGACAGGGAGACGGGGCGGGGGGACGGGAGTGGAAGGAGAGAGAAAGCACCAGCCAGCCGCAGATGACAGATGTGCGCAGAAGCCAGGTGCTGACATTTGAAATTCCTTCAGGTCAATATGAGGTTGGAATGGAAATGTAAAAGTGCCTTGCCAAGACCTGGAATTAATGAGAAGATTTTTTTCTTTTTAAAAAAATAAATAAAAGAGAAAAACAAACAAACAAAAAAATCCCCTGGGCAGCTCAGCTTCCTGGGCTCCTTTCTCCTTGGCGTCCCCAGTCGCGGTGATCATCGGGCGCCCGGGAGCCGCAATAGGCTTGCGGGGACCACGAGGAGGGGCGGGGGAAGTGCGTCACCAGGTGGGGAAGGGGCTGTGTTTTTGGAGAGGAGCGGGAGGCGGTGGGGGTGGCGAGGAATGGGGACGGGAAATGGGTTCCGTGCGCTCTCCGGGGGTATTGTGTCAGGAGATGCAGGCTGGCTACCATGTGACGCGGTCCAGAGCTGAAGGGATTGGCCGAGGCAGTGCAGGCGGTGCAGCTCGCCGGCTTGCTGTTCGCTGCCTTTCTCTCTCAGCATCTTCCTGGGAGCTTGTAGGTGAAGCAGCACCAGCAGCATCCATGGCCTGTCGTTCGGGTTAACACTGTCTCCTTTGGCTTGGCAGTAAGCAGAGCAGACCTCAGCAGCGGCATTGTGTGGACTTAGCTGGGACCTGGAAGCATATCCTCCTGTGTTTTTTCTGACTCCTTGGAAATTAAGGAATGCAATTCTGCCACCATGATGGAAGGTAGGGTTCCCTCTGCTGTGGTTGGCTGACTCCAGGCATGATTTGGGTAGACCAGTATGGAAGAATGCATGCAGCCGGTGACTGTGTCCAGAACCTGACTGCCAGGGTGTTTGCGAGCAGCTAAGACAGCTTGCTCGCCACCGGCCAGGGCTTAGACTAATGGAATCAAACCACAGGGTTTCTGCCTAGCTCAGAGCCTCCACAGCTCCCAGCTCCTTTGAAAGAGAAAAACCTAAGTGTTTGCAGGGAGCTGAGACAGCTAGGAAGATGCTCACAGGCCAAACAAGTTGGGGAAAAAAAGATAAGGATTTGTGTGTGTGTGTGTGTGTGTGTGTGTGTGTGTGTGCATATGTGTGTTAGATTCCTGAAAGCACGCTGGTTAAATCTTAGCAGTGGAAACTTGCTTTCAGAAATTGACATTAGACAGGAGAGGTCATCGACAGAGTTCTCCACACGCTGTCGTTTTCAGTGAGCTGTTTCCGTGTCTCAGAAGATATTTTGATCTCTAGGGTTTGCATTATGATATTGGAGCGAGGGGTGCAACAAATTTGGTTCATAAACTGGAGTTTTATGGGGGCTGTCACTGCACCATAATGAGAGATCTAAGAAAAACACCTGGGCCTTTTGGCTCCTTAATCAGGATCATACCAGTTCAGAACGGAGAGGGCCCTTAGCTAAACATCAAATGGTTATTTGCTGAGTATCTTACTACATTAAGTGTGAGGAGGGATTTTCCCTGCGAGATGCTATTTAAACTAGGTATTATTCTACTAACTTGCCCTTTCTCGCCTGAGATAGTGACAGCCAATATCACCTCAGCAAAAGCAACAAATTGGTCAGAGAAGAATCAGGGAGCTCTACGCTGGCTTCGATTTTCTGTTTTCTCACTACAGGATGGTGCAAAACTCCTGGCCTTTGCTAAGACAGGCAGAAATGTTGCACCCAGGCTGGATTTTATAATACAGAATCCAGTGCATAATGGCTCTCAAATAAGCCATTGAGATGAAAAAGAGGCCACATAAGCCATTGAGATGACTAGAGAGGCCACATTTAAGTCAAGGTCTGTCTTACCAGTTGTGGCTGCGCAGTGGGCCTTAGAAATTCACTAAACTGGAATAAAAGGAAGACGGTTTCTGTAGAACCTGCAATGTGGCCTGTACTCATTTGGCGGAAATGAATCTCAATCTCTCTCTCTCTCTCTCTCTCTCTCTCTCTCTCTCTCTCTCTCTCATATCATGTCAAATGTCATTAGTCTGTGAAGAATTCTGGGGCAGAGGCAGAAGCTGGCAGATTTGGGGAAGTGGCCTTAAAAGGAGTCAGGATATCATTCTGTTTAGAGCCTGCTCTCGTTTTCAGAGAGCTAAGTGATAATTGTTAAGACTAAGATTAAATCGGTTTTAGTTAATTCAAAATGAATTTAATCTTTGAATAGCAAAGAAAGACCATCTGAAAGAGTACAGCTTACGTAGTTGTCAATTCGAAGCCCATATGACTTACCTTCATCGGAAGAAATAATCTTGTCTATAGGCGTACCATGTTTTTTCAGCTAAATTTTATGTGGGGTCTGTTAACATGCACTGCATACATTCCAGTTCAACTCTAGCCTTCTATAGGGAATTGGAGGACCTGTCCTTTTACTCTCGCCTTGAATCTATCCCATGAGTTACCTGGGGCTGGTAGCATGTCCGGACGCTCATTAGTGCTTCTCCTGGTAATCAGGTCTGTTGTGCCATCGAGAACGCCAGCTCGAAGCTCTGAGATAAAGCTTATCTGAGCTGCAGGAACTGAAAGGGGAGCTCTAACAAAGACTGGTGCTGGAGCTGAAGTAGCACCACGGTTAGCTTGCCAAATTTATCTCGTGGAGGATGCTATCTTCGCACTGGTTGGGATCAGAGGTGACACTCTGGGCACAGTTGTTTCTATGGAACCTTTCGGGGAGCAAGAAGACAAGTGTGCCCCCCTGCTTTCAAATTTCATGTGAAACTAATAAATGCTCTCTACCCATAATTCCTATCTGAATGGTCTCCTATTAATTGTTCAGTGACCTTGGAAAAAACTGGTAGGAGCCTTAACCAGAAATCTCTTTGCCTGGCAGTGGCCTTCCAACCACGATGCCAGTCGTTTTCAGCAATGTCTGTGTAGATTTCCGATGCTGCATCCCAGAATTCCTCCTCTAAACTGCTCTTACTCTGAAGATGTGATTTGGCAGTTATGTCCACCGAACTTGCCTCGACAGAAAGCCAGGCTGTTGCACAAACCACAGTCACCTTGGAACCCCCAAAAGGTGCCCAGAATGCTGTCTGCTGAAATGCCGGTGTGTACAGTGAGGTTGCACAACCGAACGTCTACACAGTCTGTTCTCAACCAGTTCCCGTGTGCTACATACACACAGTCACACATGCATGTGCAGCCATGCACATAAACACAGTGCTAAAGAGGAGAGGCTGTAGTTTGTACTTCTGTGTGCGTGTGCATGCACGCCGCTGTCCTGCTGCAGTGTTTCTGTCTACTGCTTTGAGGAAGCATGCAGGGCAACTTTTCCGTCCCTCCTCTGTTTGGTGGGAAACAAGAATAAATACGTATTTAGTCGAATAGCTCATGGCTTCGATTCATGCGTGTGTCTGTTTGGAACAGGATATAGGATTTCTTCCCCCAGTGTCTTTCAGAAGGCCTAGTCTTAGATGAGGAATGGTACCACCTCCTTCTTGTTCTAATACTGCGAGAGGCAGCATCGTAACTGCAGGCTCTGTTTACAGCTCACCAGCGGTGTGTGTCTCCATGGCTCTATTTCAGCTATTCTCATGCAAGCAATACCTTTTAAGAGACTTGATTTGTTGCTTCCTGAATTCTCTGTTTTTTGACAGCGGTGGCTACTGAGTTGTTTCTTTGTTGAGGGAAACTACATGATGCTGCTTGGAGGCAGTGTGGGAGTGAGGGACGAGGTGGTAAGCAGAGGACACTGGAGCTATGGGTCTGCGCAGTGATGCTAACATGCGGTCAGTGTGGTTAGGGCAGCAGGTCGGGGGCTATTCTTTGATAGGTTATCATTAAAAATCTTAAATGGGATTAAATAAAATCTTTCCTAAGAGAACTGAAAGTAAGCGAAGGTCCATGGAAATCTTTTTATTTCTGAAGCTGATAAGTACGATTCTTGTCCCATGCAGAACTAATTAAGTGTTCTATGTTTCGATTTCCATCTTCAGGCTCCTAGGTGTTGCTGTATTCAAAACATCACCTTCCCCGTGCCAATGGTTTCATTCTGTAGGGCAACTTTGAAAGGAGAAGGCATGCTTTTAAGGATTTAGTTTAAATTCAAGGTGACGAATATGTTTTAATTTATTTGCTGGTCACAGGCATGTCTGCATAGGTGCCTTCTTAATCAAACATTTTATGATACTTTTTCCAGATTTAAAAATATTAAAAATAAGGCATTGTCACAGGAAGAAAAATACCCACAGTAGAGGAATTTGAACTTAAGTCTGTTTAACGAAACTCATGATTTCAGCTTCTAAGAACTTTTTCCTTTTTTCTTTGTAGAGGAGCAGGCATGTCAGCCACCCTGAAAAGCAAGCCTTTGTTTCTGCAGTTGCACATTCTGTTCCTCTCTGCTTAAAATATGACTGCTGGCAGAACCTTCTCATTCCTTATTAGTGCTTTTTATGCCCCCAAATGATTACTTAGATGATTTTTGTCCAATTTGAGATTAGCTGAACATCTGTTGCTGCAATGAACCTGTAAACTCTAGAAATGGAATTTTCTATTTGGAAAATTCTTTGATGTGATAATAAAAAAAGGGAACAAAGCCTTTTGAACAAGAGTGCTCATTTTATAGTTAGCGCATAGGTTTTAGAGAGAGTGCCTCAAATGCTCCTGATTCCCCTCCCTTAAATGGTGAGGTTACTTTAATAATTCTAAGTGTACATCTGAGATTCTGATACACACTCCATCATTTACGTAACTTCTCTCCACCTTCAGGTGCGAGTTGGGAAGAGACTGTTAGTTCTTATCCAGCCCCACTGGGCAACTTCAGATCTCTGAAAAGAATGTGTAGTCATAGACTAGTCCACCAGCAGCGATCAGCCCAGCTTCTGACTGAATGCTAAATCCTTGCCGTAAACACGACAGCTACCACAGCGATACAGCAGAAGAGAGTGATGGCCTTCAATGTGGCTTTAATTTCAAGTATTGCTTTTGGATATTGCTGTGAGTCTTCCCACATGGCTTATCTAAGTCAATTATTAGCACAGGAAACTTAATTAGAAGAAAACGAGGAGCTAGAGACAAAATTTGAAAGCATCTCCAGAAACTATTTTACATATGAAGCTTTAGAGACTTGTGATAATACTTTCGGTTTTCAATTATGTTCAGTTTGACTTTCCAGTTCCATTCTTGTGACTTACCCTTTCTTAATTCCACTTTATATAGGAACCACTGTCCAGTTGAAAGGTCATTACATAAATTCCCAAACGGAATGAAGACAGGGGGAGATTTTACTGAGATGGCTAGAAAGGAATTGGAGATCATATTTAATGGAGTATGGTGTGCTTTAGCTTCTGTGTCTTAGAACCCTTTATTGAAATTGGCCATGTGAAGAGGTGGTCATGGACAGAAAGGAACAGGAAGCGTGTTGAAGACAGGGTCCCCTGGGGAGAAAGCAGAGGTGGCCAAAGGCATTGGGACTAGCCTGTCTGTGCACTGACCATCCATATTACAATGGGTGCAGCATAGCTTACTTACCAATAAAACAGCTACTAAAGACGTATTATAGATATGGAAGGAGTGAGACGCTATTCTTGGCATCTGAATATTAGCTCATTGCTTCTGTAGGATACTAGAAATATTCTATATTTGAAAATACTTATTTATAATATGTAAAGCATATATATTTAAGTGTAACATGAAAGTCGGCTTGTTGGGTTCCTACCCGCTTCCCACAACCGTTTAGCCCCAAAGAAAATCACACAGAGGTCTCCATAATTTATAAGCTGATTGGCCCACTA